ACTCTACAGGTGGGTCGCCGTCTTTTTCCTCTGAAGGAGCGGGTGTAGGCAGTGGGTGCTGTTACGCAAAAACCACGATAGAGCGAAGCCGCGGAAGTCGAAGCACGAAGTGGCGAGGGTTCACTGTATTCCCAAACGTACTTGGCTACAGCCCCCACACCAGGAAACATAAACACTCAGCAGGTCCCTGACAATTAAAACTATTTGTACTGTAGCCCATCATCTAGAGCACTGGTCTTCAACCTTCCTCATGCCGTGACCCTTTCACACAGCTCCTCATGGGGTGGTGACCCCCCAACCATACAATTATTTTCATTGCTACTTCATCCCTGTCGTTTTGCTACTGTGATGAGTCGGGCGACCCCTGCGAAAGGGTCATTCGACCCCCAAAGGGTCATGACCCACAGGTTGAGAACCACTGATTTAGGCTAGGTTTCTGCAGCCACCTAGATCCAGCGTCCCCACTTGCCACTTTGGGAAACACTGCTCTACAGAGAAACATGTCCACTCTTCTTTGTGTACTACCTATCTGCCCCCGGGCTGCTGGCCACAAGGACAAACGAAAACCAAACTCCCTGCCTTCCAGTCAATGCCAACCCACATCCACCCCCCTGTGGGTTTCCGAGACTCACAGTGACCACCCCCTGCCCCTGTGGCTTTCTGAGACTGTAACTGTTCACATGAGTAGAAAGCACAATGCGGTTCAAAGCCACCGGCTGCCCCAAGAGACAAAGAGGAGGCTTTTATACTCCTGTAAAGGTGCACAGTCTCGGAAACCCACAGGGGCAGTTCCACCCTGTCCTACAGGGTCGTCGTGAGTCCGAATCCACTGGGTCTCGATGGCAATGGGTTGGTCTTGGTTGATCTGCCTCCCCGAACCCAAGTCGTGGAGGGGGCCACTGCCCGGTGTCAGTTTTCCCCAGGGAGACCTTGGGGCCTGGAACGAGAGCCCGTGTGTACCCCATGGCTGTAACCTGCCTGTGCCCTGCTGTCGCCCGCCCTGCAGGAGGCTGCCAGCTGGGGATCTCGGCCAAGGGAGAGCGCTTGAAGCACTGGTACGAGTGTCTGAAAAACAAGGACAAGAAGATCGAGCGTTGGCATCAGCTGCAGAATGAGAACCACGTGTCGAGCGATTAGTGGGGCCGGCCCCGACGCCAGGCCCCCAGGCCCCTCTAGCCTGCCCCCTGCCCCCTGGTCTCTCTTCCCAGGGCCTCCAGCCCTGCCCCACCCCTGCCTGGGAGGCCTCCCCCTTGCCCTGCTGTGTAAACTCCAGAGCAGCCCCGCCCCACCGGGTCCCTGGAGGAGGGAGCGCTGTGGGCGGAGCCCACTGGGCATTCATGTAATCCCTGCGTAGGTCCCCTAGATTAGAGTTTTTCAGAACTGTTTCCGGACACTTCTGGCCTTGAACCCACTCCCCCAGCCCCAGCCCCAGCCCCCGTCCCCATTAGTGTGGCCCATGTGGCGTCCGTGTCTGCCCTCGATCAGGAGGTCCGTGGACCAGGCTGGGTGGACGGGCAGGCTCTGGGGCCATTGCTCTTCCAAGACAAGCGAAACAAAGTCATCCACTGGACTTGGCCTCCTGGTGAGCGTGTGGGTGTAGCGCTGTGCCCGCAGGGGTTTCCGTGCGCGCAAGATTGTCAGGCTTTTCTTATGAGGCACCTCCACGGAACTGCAAGCCGCCAACCTTCGGTTAGCACCTGAGTGTGGTGATGGTTGGCACCACCCAGGGGGACTCCATCCTTCACAACACGTGCCTGCCGGCCCCTTCCTCCCCACCCCCCAAGATCGTGGCCAGGGAAAGAGGCCAGGGTACTGAAACTGTCTGAGGACTAGGACCCCACTCCTTGTTCCAAAGGGATGTAGAATATGCAAAACAATCTTCTCTCCACCTTCCAGGGGTCCCCTGTTTTGCTTCCTAGACAAGAAATGAGTTACTGGTTCTCTCCCACCTCGTCCTCCCTCCACTCTCTTCCTTCCTCCCCTCTGCATTCAGGTCTCCCCTTGCTTCCTCACCCTCGCCCCTCCTCCCTCCACGTCTCCCTGCCTCTCTCCAAGCTCGCTACATGTTTCCTAAGGGGAGGATACAAGCAAAAAGAAAAGTATTCTCTCTGGACCAGCCTGACCACAGATTCAGAAAACTGCGAATCTCCAAGTCCCCGTAGGCTCTCTAAAACCACTGCTTCTTCTAAAGGCAAAGCCTGCGCCCCTCGGGCCATGGGCTAACTGCTGAAGCCACCCCACGTGGCACTTCCCCGGAATGGGGGTAGGCACGTCCACGGAGGGACACACGTAGCTCTGGCCTCCCCAAGTGGGCCTAGGAGGCATGGAAGAGACACTGCACCCCCAGCACCCCATCCTCCTCCTTCCTCCGCTCCTTAGTTCAATAACACACTTTCCGAGCTGCCGCTCTGACTCTCATGCCTGTGTCTGACTCTGGACCACCTTCTCTCCCCTTCTCTCTCTCTCTCTCTCCATCTCGTTCACTCTCTTGGTCTCTTTCTGTCTCTTACCCTCTCTGTACCAAGTTGGTTTGGAGAAGGAAGCCCCCTCCTGGATGGAACCCTTTAGAGAGTGGCCAAGAGACTTCGACACCAAAGGCTAGTCCCCGGCGCCCATCACAAACTACTCCCTCTCTTCCTCAAGACAAGGAAGCCTGGGAGAGGAGACCACAGGTTACATATTGGAGGACTGAGAGAACGAAGTGGTTTTCCCACGTCCCAGCCATCACCACCGCACTCTTAAGAAGATCACCAGAGGCTGCTAGTAAACTCCTTTCTTCTGCCAGTCTTGAGAGGGTTAGCCTGCCCTCCTGCCCAGCTCCCTGTGTAATTCATCAGAAGACACCGACATCCCGACACCTTGACCTACCGTTTTTCTAAAGAACAAGCTCTTCCCTCCCCCCCAGGTGGCCAGCAGCCTCCCGGCCTCCATCTTTCCTCTGGGCCCTCCCTCTCCCCATGTTGCCCCAGCCCCTGCCCCCTCTCAGCGTCCCTAGGAGAAAGCATGCTGGCTGCGTTGCCTGAGCCTGACACGGTGTTGGCACTGGAATAAGCATGTGCGCGCTCTCGGCGCCCTGGCGGGGGGGACGCGCTCGCCCGAGCCTTGTAGCCACCTCCCAGCCTAGCATAGACACCCCCTTCCGGTGCATGCGGAACCGGCCACCGCCTCTCTCTGTGATGATGTAGCCACAAATAAAGTAGGACTATCCTGGACACGCTGGTGGTGTTTCTCATTCCTGGTTTCCGAAAGGTCCTCCTCGCAGACGTGAGCTGCTGGCCCCAAGTGTTCAAGCAATGGATTGGACCCGCCGGTCACTTCCCAGAGGAAATGCAAATGACAGCCCACAGGCTGCCCTCTCCCCAAAGGGTGACTCAGGGTTTGAAGAGAGAGAGAGGTGTGTCAGAACCACCCAGCAGGATCCGAAAGGTCAGCGGTTCGAGACCAGCAGCTGCTCTGCGGGTAAAAGAAGAGACTTTCCACTCCCTAAAGAGTGGGGGTGATTGTCGTCTTCTTTGATAGGGCCATTGAGTTGGTTCCGACCCCTGGCAACCATATGCACAACAGATAACACACCTCCCAGTCATGTGCCATCCAGTCCCTGTGCTTGAGCCCATTGTTGCAGCCATTGTGTCCCTCCATGTCCTTGAGGGCCTTCCTCTTTGTTGCTGTCCCTCCACTTTATCAGGCACGATGTCCTTCCTCAGCAACTGGCCTCTCCCGACAACATGGTCAAAGTCCATGAGATGAAGTCTCGCCGTCCTGGCCTCTAAGGAGCTGTCCTCATTCCAAGACAGATGTGTTTGTCTTTGGGACTGCCCACAATTCAAATGCATTGATTCTTCTTCGGGCTTCCTTAGTCAATCTCCGGCTTTCACAGGGGTCACAGTCTGGGAAGCCCACAGGGGCAGTGCTGCCCTGTCCCATCGGGTGGCTATGGGAGTCGACTGGGAGGCAGTGAGTTTGAAATGTAGCCAGCCTCCGCTCTGCCCTGGGGACAAGGGATGCGTTTCATAGTATTTGAAAGTCCTTCCTGTGGCATGCTTCCCCCCACCCTTGAGAGACATGGCTGTGAAGACCTCTACCTTTCTGGTGACTCAGGTACACCCAACTCATCTTGTGGCCTTTGTCGTCAACTCAGAGGTACGGGCAATGACAAACGTAGGCAGAAGCCGGTCCATGCATTTGAATGGTGGGGTTGGCTGAGGGATATCGGATACACCGGGGACCGCCAATAGGAAGAAGAATGAATCCGTCTTGGAAGAAGCGCGGTCAGTGTGCTCCTCAGAGGCAAGGACGGTGGGGCGTGGTCTGGTTTCATTGGACACGTCATTAGGCAAGGCCATTTGTAGGGTCAGCCGAAGGACAGGAGACCCTCCATGCGATGGATGAGCAAAGTGGCTGCAACCAGGCATCAAGGGATCAAGATGATCACTCATCCCGGCGACGCTCCATGCTGTTCCACTCAAGGAGTTGATACTGACTCAATGGCAACTAACAACAAAAGAGGATCAAATCGGCCCATTTCTCCTGTAATTCAGCCAGATGCCACCAAGTGGGCAAAAGTGCCCACGAGGGGCCACGGGGCTCCCTGGAATGCCAGGAGGCCCACTCTGTCACTTTCTTCCTGTTCTAGTGACAGACATCACTCATCAATCCCTGCATTCATGACTGACATCACTCGTCTATCCCTGCACTCATGACAGACATCACTAGTCGAGACAGCATCTTTTCTCCTGGCACCTTTGAATCCTTCTCAACAACCTGTTTATTCCAAGCAGCCACCACCAGGGCTAGTCATGGGTGGCGGCTAATAAGAAGCCCAATTTCCATCCTTAATATGGTTGGTCGCCTTCCCCAGGCGTGGAGGACGTGTCTACATGGGGAAAGTGTAGGAAAACCTGGGCGTGCCTGACCTGGCATATGATGTCCCACCCACTGGAATGAAACACGTGTCAAAAGGCCACCTGGTGTAGGAGAAAGCACCGCCCAGACGGGCACCCCGATCCAGTTCCGTGTTCGAATCCTGGCTCTGTCACGGTCTAGCTGCAGAATCTTGCAGAAGGGTGATTGAGCCTCTCTGAGTGTCCATGCCCTGATCTGGTAAGGGGGACATGACGCACCACTTCACGGGGTAGCTGAGAGATTTTAATAAGATAATATGCACAGGCAGAGTCTCTCGTAGCAAAATCATAAAGCAAAGACAACCGAACAGTGGCCATCGAACAGACTCCATCTATGGCCAGCCCGTGTGCGTCAGCTTAAAGCTGCAGACACTCCGCGGGGCTTTTCAGCAGCTGGTTTGTTTGTTTTTTTCCAGAAGGAGACTGCCAGGCCTTTCTTCCGAGGGGCCCCCGGGTACAGTTTTTCAGGTGGGACCCATTTGCACTGCCCTCAAACTTCGCTACTCTGTAGGGATTCTGTAAGCACTGGCTCACCTTGCTGGCCTCCCAGTGCTTGGACTCCCTCGCAGGACTCCAGGCACGAGTCCTTGGAGCAGGCTTTGATAGGAAGCCCAGTCTATCATCACTGAAGCGGAAGACGAGATAGAGCGGGGACCCAAGTCATCCAGGCCTCCACACGGCCGCCTGCAACTGGAGGCAACCCAGTAGCTGGAGAGGTTCTTCTGAGCGGGGCTCCTGGCTGCAGAGAACTGGGCTGTCAGTGAGATGCTTGCAAAGGAGGGCCAGAGAAAGTGAAGGTTGGGCTGGTTAGTCAGTCCTGGGAAAAGCAAAACAGGCTCAGCTCTGGCTGAGCACAAAGCTCAAACTCCTGGCGACCCTACAGGACAGAGCAGAACTGTGACTCTACTGGAGTAATGGCCGGGCACAAGGCTAAGGAAACCCGGTGGGTTGGCCCCTTCTCCACTCCATCCAACCTGTCCAGGAGGTAGGCCTGATAGGATGAAACAATACGGCAGACCAAATCACCATCTTCATGGTGTGAGAGGCCTGTTATGATGCTTGGCTCCAGCCCCAAACGCACTGTGTGACTGTGAGCCAGTCACATCTCCTCTCTGAGTGTTCAATTTACCTTTGGGGAAAGGGCGGGCTTCCCGCTCACACGGCAGAGTTCATGATCTGTACCTGGACGATGACGAGAGAACACTTGGTGATGTGGGCCACCAACCTGGCTGTCCTCAACTCCAGCTCATAAAGAAGCCCTGGGTGCCAGACAACTGTGCTCCATGGAGTTTCCAATGGCTGGCATTTTGGGAAGCGGATTACCAGGTCTTTCTTCCTGGGCACCTGGAGATCACCCAGGGACTCCTGGTCTACTCCAGGAGGACTTCAGATACACCTTCACTCCCCAGTGGGTCCAATCTAAACTGGGACCTCTTTGCAGAGGGCTGTCCGCTTGACCAGACAACCTACTCCTGCACTGTGCGATCACATGATACACGAACGAATGCTTCTTCGAGAATTTCCTGTTTCTTTTTCTTGCAAGAGGACAAGAACGTAGCGCCATCGACCAAGGGCAAGAGGCCATCATCTTGGACTTTTAAGACAATTTCCACCATAGCTCACCACGGTCTCACTCTCTCCTCAGTCTAAGCCAGCGGTTCTCAACCTTCTTCATGCCGCGACCCTTTCGTGCAGTTCCTCATGCGGTGGTGACCCCCAACCATAACATTATTTTCCTTGCTACTTCATCCCTGTCATGTTGCTACTGTGATGAATCGGGTGACCCCTGTGAAAGGGTCATTTGACACCCCCCCCAAAGGGGTTATGACCCACAGGTTGAGAACCACTGGTCTAAGCTACGTTTCAGACAGCTCGCCTTTGCTGCATCTTGCCGAAGAATTCAACATCCGTGCTCTAAGGACACTTGTCTGGTTTGCACTTGGATTTGGTCTGTGTGCAAAAATGGAATCGCAAGGTCACTTCAGCCACAAGGACAATTGCCACAAGATGCTTGGGACACTTGAATAAGCAGAATGATTTTTTTTAAGAATAAGAATGCCTGGGGGGCAGGGGAGTGTCTGATCTCTGAGAACACAGGTGGGAGGAGACTAGCCAGCATCAGCTGCCCGAGGCCGACATGCCCCACCTGGCACCTGCCCCCGCCTCTGACCCCAACGGTGCCTCCCACAGCGCTTGCTACTTTCAGCTGGGTTCGATCGTTCATTGCAATGGCCACCCTGAACTCAGGCACCGTCCCCAATGATGGAGTTTATTAAGGAAGCTGGCAGGTACAAATAAGCAGGGCATCATTCTTCGGACAGGACATTTGCTGCCATCCAGGTGTGTCCGATGTTCAGTAACCCTCCCTCTAGGGTCTCTGAGATTACACATTTCCAGGCGCAGACAGCTGCCCCAGCATCCTTGACAAGTTGGTTCAGAGGAAAGTGGATTAAGATCGCTCCAGTTTACTTATTGTGGTTTGTGGTGCTGAGGGGTAAGCACTGGACTGCTAACTTCAAGGTCGGTGGTTCAAACCCACCAGCTGCTCCTCAGAAGACCATTCAGGCTGTCTGCTCCCATAAAGAGGGTCAGCCTGGGAAGCCCTCGAGTCAGAATCAACCTGATGGCAGCGGGTGATGAATTCTCTCTTGGAGGAAGAACTACAGGAAGAAACGACATTCATGGGAATAAATCTTGTTACTTAACGTGTGGTGTGCTGGCGTGTAAAAGAAGAAGAAATGAGAACTCCATGTTTGTGGTGGGGGGATGTATTCACAAAAAAATATGAAAAGATCTAGATCACAATGTCTGTGGTGGTTGCCCTTGCGTGTGTAGATAGATGGCTGATCTTGAGACACTTATTTATCATGTTCTAAAAATAACATGGTACTGTTAGTGTCATTGAGTCTGTCCCCACTCACAGAGACCCTACATATAATAGAAGGAAATGTCACAGTGGTTGACCTCCCAGGCCCTGGACAGAAACCAGATCTCCTACCCGGGATCCATCACCATTGTCCACAAGACCGGTTATTTCTCAAAGGAAAATTCGTGACCAGCCCTGTCCTGGCTAGCAGAGTAGTCAGTAGCCACATGTGCCTATCTCGCTTTTGAAATATGACTAGTCTGAATCAAGATGTGCTATCAATGTAAAATAAATACAGGGTTTCCACAATTCAGTACAAAAGAAAAATGTCAGATTCTTGATAACGATCATTACATTGATTACTTCTTGAAATGACTTTTTTTTTTTTGAAATGACATTTTTTTAAATTCAGTTAAATCAAATGTAATGTCACCTCTCGCTGATGGCTTTTCTTTTTAAAGTGTTGCTATTTGTCTTAGGCGGGGTTCTCCTGAGACGCAAACTCTGTCAAGCGTATATGTGTATGTATAGAAATAGATTTGTATCCAGAAAATGACGGAAGTTGGCAAGTCCAAGTCCGGGCATGTTCCAAGTCTGTGGGTCAGAGGTCAGGCTGGAGGCTGGTGAACCCAAGAGTTTGGCAGGAAGACAATAGGCTGGCGGCCGCAGGGGTGAATGAATCTAAGGTCAGCAATGTCAGGCTGGTGGCCATAGAAGTGGATGCATCCAAGGTCGGCAGATCAGATGGCAGGGCGCTCACTCCCAAGACTGGTAGGCAATATGGCAGGCCATTGGCTCAAGTCTAAAGAACTAGAAGTCATGATCCAGATGCAGAATCCAGACCCAGCAAAAAGCAATCGAGCTTTTCCACAGCAACCATTTACACAGGAAGCAGTCCAAGTCCCCTAGGAAACTTCCTTTCAATTGATCGGATCAGGGTGGTGCTCTGCCTAAGGATGTTGCATCCCGCCCTAATCGTTGTACAGCTGATTGGCCGCTCCTAGCAGATCCCCTCATGGAAGTGACTATCTGGTGTCAGGTCACCTCAGGGGGGATTACTATCTCTTAACTGCCAACTGCCAACTGCCAAAGCTCTGAGAGTCCTGGCCCAGCCAAGCTGACACAAAACCTAACGGTCAGACTACTAGAAAATGTAGAATTACATAGGTAACTTGCATGGTATTTCTATTGGACAGTTCTGCTCTAGAAGACAGACCCCCCAAGATTAAAAGGAACACATTCCCCACTGCCACCCCATCAGTTCCAAGTCAGAGACCCTGCAAGATAGTGGAAAATGGCCCCAGAGGGCTTTAAACCTTTAAGGAAGCAGACTTCTTTCTCCCATGGAGTGTCTGCTGGGCCCAAAGCACCCACTTCTGAGTTAACAGCTGAGTGTTCCAAGCACATCGCCAGCATTCTATCAAATTTCCAATGAGCGGTTCCCTAACCCAAACCAAAGCCATTGCCAACGACTTGATTCTAACTCACAGCAACCCAAGAGGCCAGACCAGCACTGCCTCTTGGGGTTTCCCAGGCGTTGGGTCATCTTTAGGGAAGCAACCTGCCACATCTCTCTCCCTGAGAGCCGCTGCTGGGTTTACCCTTTTGGTTGACAGGCCAGTGCTTCGCCAAGGTGCCAACAGGGCTCCCTACAGGGCCCCTGGGTGGCACAAATCTTCAGTGCTCAGCCGCTGATCTACAGGCGGCTGGTTGGAAGCCACTGCAGCAGCAGTGTGGGGCAAGGGCCTGCATCCAGAGATTCGAGCTCGGGGAGTCTGAGCTTGGTTTAGAATCCTCCTTGCTCTTCTCAAAGCCAGGCTCGCTGCCGGCTCTCCTTGGCCTCCAAACGACCCACAGCACCGCTATCTAAGGCAGCAGGTCAGCAGAGTCTGGCATGGGCAGCAAGCCTGGGTGGTGCACACGGGAAGGCAGCTCAGCAGCTAAGCCAGAGGTAGGTGGTTCCAGTCCACCCCGAGGTGTCTCCAAAGAAAGGCCTGGCCATCTGTTTGGACACTATCAGCCACCGGAAGTCCTAAGGAGCGCCGGTCCTGGAAGGGACCTAGGAGAAGGTGCCTGCACTTTGAGCCCTGGGGACCAGGAAGT